CCAGACCCATCGTGAGGTGCTTTCGGCGCTCGTTCTAGCCGGCCGATCCTGGGATGCTGGGCCGATGGACCGAAGTCATGCGAGGCTGGGCGAGTATCGCCGATCCTTGTTTTCCACTGCCGATGTTTTGATCGGTGATGATTCCGCAAGGTTGCTTTTCTTGTAGGCTTCTAGGTAAATCTTCGTTGAAGATTTATGGCCTCCGAAACAATATAATTTCGACAAATAGGATTAGTAACAATGCTTTTGTTTATAAACGAACGCGCTCGCCTCTCTGAAAATCCCGGCGGGGCTCTCGATTTCTCGATCGGCGCGGCCGCTCGGCTCGCGCCCCACGGTCTTTTTGGCGGGTGGACGTCCGTCGTGACGGCAACGTCACAATATATATATATATATATATATTTTTTTTTTTTTTATATACAAATATAAATAATATCTGAAACATAGAAATGATCTATAAGTACAATTAATTCCAAATAATTAATTTAAATAATGTTATGTGTGTAAACTCGGAGATTTTAAAAATCTTAAAATTGCATAGCATAAACAAGTTTACTTAATTAAAATAAACGGAAAACCCTTTTTCGAAATTCTAATTACATACTTTAATAGAAATAAAAAAAATAATTCGAACACAAATAGTTCAACTAATTGTACATAAAGAAAATTTATGTTTTGTTCAATTGAAATGTGTCAATAATCAATTAAGAAAGGCCTCCGCACATTTTATAAAGAACTCCGCACATTTTATATGAAAAAAGTGGCTTCGGTCAAATTGGCTGAAATTGAAATTTAAGTGGTGATTCGAAATTTAAGAATTATTTTGCATGATTTATAATTGAGGAGATATTAAGTATTATTTAGGCCATATAAAATACGTATAATAAATATATAAGATCAAAAAAATTCCAACATCAGAAATGTTCTTTTTATATTTAGACTTTCTTTTTTATAAAACATATTGTACGAAAGAACAAAAACAACAGTAGTAATAAAGCAATAAAAGAGAAAACGAGTTGAAGGTTATAAATGCCTCGAAAAACTATTGATCCGTATGCGTATGGCAGATGACTCTGAATTGATTTTTGTAAATAACTTTCCGATATGTAATCTAAGAAAAATTTTTTTTTAAAAGTAGGTCTAACACATAAAGGCGAGAAAAAGCGGTGACTCTTTTGAAAATCAAAGAAAATCGCAAATAGTCAAAAAATAAATACTAAACGATAAAATGAAAACGGATACAAAAAGATTCAAATACATAGCAATATGTTCGTAATAATTAGAATGTTTACTCTGTTTATTTATTTTTATTCTTTGTTTTGTTCTATTTTAATTTTTATTCTTATAAAATATAAAATATATATATATATATATATATATATATATATATATATATATAGAAATTGTGACGTTACCATCCCGACGCGCGTCCATCCGCCCCGAAAATCTCGACGAAGCGGCCGCGCCAGAAAAAGATTGCGAGAGCCGTATTAAAATCTCTGGAGAGATGAGCCATTGTTATATTTCGGATCATTACTAATTATTTTTTATTGTTGCATCTGAGATTGCATTAAAAAAACTTTGAACTGATAGTCGGCGTCCTCTTGGACAATATCTATTGTCTATTTTACATTTTTCATGTAATACGAAAGCGTCTGAAGTTGCTATTGGTCTTGAATCGAACAGGCTTGGAGCCCGACAAGGACCTCCCTGAGAAGCGACCCTCTTCATATTTCACAATCCCATACATTCCAACGTTTTCGGAACAATTTAAGCGAGTTCTTCGCAGTCATGACGCGGGAGTTTCTTATTTCGACTTAAATAAACTTGATAATTTTGTCAAGGTCCATAAAGATATAATGCCAAAAAATTCATATAACAATGTAGTGTATAAAGTCTCGTGCAATGATTGCGATGCGTCATATGTCGGCCAAACTAACAGACAGTTAAGAAAACGAATTTCTGAACACCGAAATTACATCCGACGAAATACGTCAACCTTCGGTTATAACTAATCACAGACTGGAATTCGGACACGATTTTAATTGGGAAGAATCTGAGATTTTGGGAAGACAGGAAGTTCTCGTTGGGCAAAAGGCTTGTCTCTGAAATGCTGTTTATTAAGCACCAAAAAAATAGCTTAAACTTGCAGAGTGATACAGAGAGCTTACATCATACATTTGCGATAATCGATAATTTATCGAAAATGTGAGTCGTTCGTTCACGCATCAGTATGTTTGTTATCGTTGGGTCAACTGTGCATGGTTGAGTCTATGTTTACGTCCTGATAACCGAGGACATATTTATACAGTTCGAATCTCGAATAGACATGAGGCGCACAGCGGCATACTATTATTAATTATAAAAAAGCGCGGAATCTGGTGAGCCATGCTTCTACCTATTAATTTAAGCAAAAAAGCTTATTCACGTGTAATATCTTTCGGTATTTATTTTATTATTTTTACTCGATTTGTTAGATCTGCTGTGCCGTCGCATAACATAACTATAGTGAATAAATGTCCGACATTACGTACTATTGTACATAAAGATTTCTTTAGACCAGTTGAATTTACTTTTCGTTGATCCTGGTCACTTTCTCACTCCATTTCTAATCAGAGATCGAAAAAGGAGATAAACAATACTCCTTCTTTTGCCGATTAATTAACGGCAAATGAGCGTAAATATTTCACGCTCATCGTAACAATCGTTCTATTTTACAATTATTTGTTAAATATTTGAATATAATTTTATTTTAACTCAAATAAAGCCAAATTACTACAAATTTCTGTTATTATATTTTCTTATCTTATCTGTATATTATATTTTCTAATAAAATATAAAACTCATGTGTGTGTATAACTTTTATCATATTACAAATTATTTAATTAATTAATCATTTGGCTTTATATTAAGTTAAAGTAAAGTTTAAAAACAATATCTACAAACAAATTCTACGATGGATGAGTTATAAGAAATTAGAATAAAATAAGTGTGCGTTATAAAAATAAAGTAGCATAAAAAATTGATAAAATTGATAAAATTATTAATATGTGCTCTTTATTTAATAATTTGGATATCTTTACAAAATATTTTCTTTTCTTGATTCTCTTTTTTTTTAATTAATACTTCAATATATTTTCGCAATAGATGCAAAGCATTTCGAAAGAATTTATTAAAAGTTATTTAATTTAAATAATTCTAGCTCATCCATTTTAAGGCAACGGATTATTACAATCTACAATCTACATCTACATCTACAATCTCTACGAATTCGTTACCTTAAAGTTAAATAAAAGTTTTTCTCACTCACCGGCACTGATGCGCAACAGCGGAGTTATCGAAGCTACGTTGTTTGTAACATACAATTATAAAATTTATTTATAATAATGTTTACAAAATGCAATCAATATTTCAAAAAATTTTTATCGTTTGGAATTTTATATCCGATGTGTAAAATAATAATATTTTGATGTGTAAAATAATAATATTTTACACATCGGAAAATTCCAAACGATAAAAACTTTTTGAAATATTGATTGTATTTTGTAAACATTATTATAAATAAATTTTATATTTGTATGTTACAGACAATGTAGCTTCGATAACTCCGCTGTTGCGCATCAGTGCCGGTGAGAAAAACTTTTATTTAACTTTAAGGTAACGAATTCGCAAATTGTAGATGTAGATGTAGATTGTAGATTGTAGTAATCGGTTGCCTTAAAATGGATGAGCTAGAATTATTTAAATTAAATAACTTTTAATAAATTCTTTCGAAATGCTTTGCATCTATTGCGAAAATATATTTAAGTATTAATTAAAAAAAGAGAATCAAGAAAAGAAAATATTTTGTAAAGATCTTGTCTAATTTATTAAATAAAGAGCACGCATTAGTAATTTTATCAATTTTATCAATTTTTTATGCTACTTTATTTTTGTAACGCGCACTTATTTTATTTTAATTTCTTATAGCTCATCCATCGTAGAATTTGTTTGTAGATATTGTTTTTAAACTTTACTTTAACTTAATATAAAGCCAAATGATTAATTAATTAAATAATTTGTAATATGATAAAAGTTATACACACACATGAGTTTTATATTTTATTAGAAAATATAATGTACAGATAAGATAAGAAAATATAATAACAGAAATTTATAGTAATTTGGCTTTATTTGAGTTAAAATAAAATTATATTCAAATATTTAACGAACTATCGTTTTTTTCTGAAATACTTCGTTTTTGAGATATTTCACCGTCCCGGTACTTTTTATACACCCTGTATATATTTTTTGCCCCACCCTGTATATATATATATATATATATATATATAAATTTAAAAATTTTTTTAATCAAGATGGTGCAAATATAAATTTCAATTATTAAAACATGATTACTATATTACGCCTTGTTATACATTTAAAGATGAGGCAAATCAATTTCGATTTGATTAGAAAATTCAATATTTAAAATTCGTTATTAAAGGATGATAATTAACTGGATTTTAAGCATTATATATATTTTTTAATATTGCGACTTTTGAATCAATTTTCTTTTGTTTAAAATGTATCAGAACATCAATAACTTTTAAAAATTAAATGTTTTCCGAAAATTAAATTTCACATAAAGCAATTAATAAGTAATAAATTTACATATTATTTAATATAAATTTCAAAAATATTTTTTATTTGATTTACTTTTATGTAATTTTAATCCAAGATGTAATTACAATAATATCCAGGGAGTATCTCGCAAGAAAATAAAATCATAATATGATGATAGATCTCTAAGCTGAACTAAAAAATTCTATACCATTTTACAAGAAACCACGTAAAATTTCGAGATATTAATTAAAAAACACTGTAACATAATGACGGTGCACGGTAAAGCGGTAATTGGGATAGGGAGGAGCGATGCGTGTGTAGGCGCGCAGCAAAGGCTACTCGAAACGAGCGCCCGTGCGGTAAGATTGTATCAAAATAATGTGATTTTTCTCCTCAAATTTACTGCTAGTATCTGTTTCATTCAGATAAAAATTGCGTTTAATAAAAGAAGTATTACATGAAATAAAAGAAGTATATATATGTATCAATAAGTTCCCTTTTTATTTTTATGAATCGACAAGTCCCACTAAATCGTTTGTTATTCCACAAGTTATTAAATTTATTTTCTGGGTCAGGATATCGTTTGCTGCGTTTTCTTTTAGTACTGAAAGAAAGAAGAAAACCGCTTAAAACTTGTTTTCAAAGTTTTATATAGTTTAAGAGAATCATATCAATCTATATTGATTATCAATCTATATTATAATATCAATCTATATTGTAACAACTACTAAATTTATAATTTAAAAAATATTAATTTATTTATTTTCATTTTTTGTAGATATTAAATAAATACATTTTTTTCGATACATAATTTTTCTGGAATAATTGAAGATATTTACAATTATATAATTATATAATTACAATTATATAATTACATTTATATAATTACATTTGAAAAATTACATCGATTAATTTTTAATTAGTTTAGTTTTCTTTATTTTAAAATATTTGAATGCTTAAATTTTTATATTTATTATTTTTACACTTATTACATTATTATGTATAAGTTTTTAAATATCTTCTCTTTTTCTCTTCGAAAATTAATTAAATATATTGAATCATTACAATAGGTATAAATATTGAGTTAACTGATGCTAAAGTATTAATGAATTGAAACATAATACTTTCAACAAAATAATTATGCAGAGAAAGATTATTAATTATAAGAACACAAGAGAAATAGAGAAAATACAAAAAATATTTAAATTATAGAGTGAAAAGTCTGTATTTTATTTATTTAATTATCTTTTTTGAAAAAAGATAAGAAATATGTATCTGATTCATACATCCATTATTTTTATTAATGTAACGTACGTATACAGGGTATTTCATAAGTGGTGGGCAAAATTTCAGGAATGGATTCCTCTTGCTTAGAAAAGAAAAAAAGTTAATCAACATAGGCCCGGAAATGATTATTTTTTGAGTTATTAAGATTTTTATAATACGAAATTTTGTCTCATTTCTCGTCTTAGAAGTCCTTTTACAGACATCAACAATGTTTTTGCCGAACTTGAAAGAACTTCTAAGACGAGAAATGAGACAAAATTTTGTATTACAAAAATCTTAATAACTCAAAAACTAATCATTTCCGGACCTATGTTGATTAACTTTTTTTTCTTCTCTAAGCATGAGAAATCTATTCCTGAAATTTTGCCCACCACTTATGAAACATCCTGTATATGTAATATATGTATATAAAATTAATATGTAAATGTAATATTATAATCTTTATTGATGTAATATATGTAATATATGTAATAACAATAATAATCATAATGATACATAATTTACATAATATTATGTAAATTATATAGAATATATTATACTATATAATATTTATATAATATTTATATAATATTAATTACCTTTATCGACGCACATGTTAATTACACTTTTGCACCGTTCTACATTGGCCGAATTCGAGATGAGAACTTCACAATTATGATCAAGGATGTCTTTATCGATTGGACTGTTATCACTGATCTAAAATCAATGTAAATTTTTCAATTACGATATTATACTACTTTGTTCAAAAAAATTATTTAAAAAATTAATAAAAAATTATATATTTTTTGTGAAAATTTATTTATTTTATTTATTTTTTTATTTTGGAGAATGCTTTTGTCCTCCTTAATCTTGATCTTGGCATTCTTCAAAAAAAAAATTATGGTTTTAAATTTTTCAACAAATTCTATCTTTAAAACTTTCAACATATTTTTATTGTTGCTCACAGTTTATTCAAAAGCTATATAGGATGGCAGGGAATTTTTGACCTTAACGAAATAAAGAGGTAGATTGGCTCAAATTAAGAAGGAAGGATCTCTATTGTTTTGTGATTATCGCAATAATTAACGAAAAATTAAATAAAGAAGATCGGCCAGGAGCGATGAGTGTGTAAGCGTGTGGCAAAGGCTCCTCCCCTCCCCAATCACCGCTTCGCCACGCGCCGCCATTATGTTACAGTTAGACCGCTTTCGCCGTCGTGTGCTTCTAGCCACGCACATTGGCTGATCTTCTTTATTTAATTTTTTGTTAATTATTGCGACAATCACAAAACAATACAAATCCTTCCTTCTTAATTTGAGCCAATCTACCTCCTTACTTTGTTAAGGTTAAAAATTCCCTGACATCCTGTATAAGCAATTAAAATAAATAATGAGTATTTTTAATGCAAGACAAGAATTTTTATAATATTAAGTATTTCTTCCTTTTCAGAGGAATTTTCGCATTTAAAAAATAATTATTAAAAGATTATTTCGCAATTAAGAAATAATTATTAAAAGAAAAATTTAATGACAAACCAGCAATAGATTTTAATATTACGATTAATATAAAGATTTGTAAAAATTAAAAAAGTTTAATATTATAGTAGTTATAGATTGCTGAGTTCTTGTTATATAGAATATACTCGATATTTTTTTGTCTATAAAGGGTGTTTTAGATCAGTTTAGAGAAACTTTAGAATCTTATATTGAATTTGGAACAAAAAGGTTCCTATAAATAAGTCCGGAAAATGAAAATAATGTAATTCGTTATTTAATTATTTATCAGATTTATTTCATTACTTTCTTCAAATAAATAAAGGATTATTTTTAAACATTATCAAATAAACGTGATTTTTTTACGTTTATTAATTTATAACTTTTTAACGAAGCGTTTCCGGACCTATGTTTAAAAACTTTTTTGTTTCAAATTCAATTTCCTATAAGATCCTGAAGTTTCTCTAATCTGACCTGAAACACCTTTATAAATGCTATTTATAAATGCTTTTTCTAAGTTTTACATGCTTAAACTTCTGCTGCTCAACTTACAATTATGAAATTTGACATTTTGTATTTCATTTGTATTTCTATAATTAATATAAAAATATATTTTATGTATTTATTATAATCCAAAATAGAGAGTAATATTGCATGACTATTATTAGTCTTTATCTTCCTGTTTACACATGGATATTCAAATATTTATTTATTTATTTTTCTAATAAACAATGAACAATCATTAAAATCTTTGGAAAGATACATAGAATTAAATGTTATATGTATATTATGATCTTTTCAATATTTGCAAATCTCAACATTTTTATTGAAAAGGAAGATTCTAATTCGCTTCCAGAAATAAATATTTAATGTAAAATCATAATATATAAATATACATACTAGGCCAGTTCTCTTGTACGCACAATAGACCACAACAGGATTATTCTCCTCTAAAATAACAAATTTTATAATATAGTTTAAAATAGGCATCCACGAGAAATTTTGTGATCAAATAATTTAATTTATAAATAAAATCTATTTAGATTTTTATACATATAATTTATTAATATTCTTTTTGTCACTAATGTTATTTTTGTTCAAAATTTGCTTTATATCAATATGCTTTATATCAATGTTTCTATTATTATAAATATTTTAACAAGAAATTTTACATTAATTCTTGATTCTTTTAAAATATCGCGTGAATTTGGTATAATGACATATGCTAAATGAACATTAAATAAATAATTAATTAAGTAATCAAAATATTATAATATATATTATTAGAATAACAAATAAAAAATAAGAATTCATAGGAGTTTAATCGAATGTTTTTCCGCTAGTAGATTACAAGAATAAAAGAATATGTCATTAAACTTAACCGTTAGATGATGGAATGCTAAAAAATTATGATCATCTTATGAAAAATAATTTAGCTTTAAGATAAATTAAGATAATTTAGCTTTAAGATAAATATTAGCACAATATATATGCATATATAAATTAGTTTTGATTCTTTTTAATGTTAATATATATTGTTGACAGAATTATTATATTTTATATTTTAATAGATTAGTATAATAAATTAATGTCATATATTTATCTCTATGAAATTTTATTTTAAATAAAGCTATTAATTTAATTGTTTTATATAAAATTGGAAATCTTTTTAGCTCGGTAGCATAATAAGCGTATAAAAGTTAATTTATTATCTCAATTAATATAAAAATTAGGATGATATAATATATTCTAGATACAATATTATTCAATAAATTTATTACAAATTGCAACTTGTAGCATAGTATTATTTAATATTAATAATTGATACGCGGCAGACTCACTTGACAGATTCGGGACTTTCGGCAATAATTTCTCACATTCCGTTAAGTAATTTCTAAAATCTTTCCCAGTTACAGCTTCACCGGCACGAACTATTACCTGGAATTCAAAATAATCCTATTTAAAAATTTCTAAGAATATACATATAAAAATTACATTTTAAAAGAATAACATTTCTTTATCAAATTTAGAATAGAAATGATTATATAACAATTTATATATTTAAGCTATTCTCCATATAATCAACATTCTCAAATTCTCGAAATTTTAATTGTCAATATATGTATATATTTAAATACATTGTAACTTATTTTAATTTTTTCGCGCAATTCTAAGAATATTAATAATTCAAAAATATGTTTTTCATTAAGCATATATTGATTCATCAAGAACGTATTATTTCAGATAAAAGTATTATATTTTCAAGATTTTTTAAGGGAGGACACCACTGTAAAATTTTCAAAAAATCGATTTTTTGGAAACACTTTTAAAAAATTGTTTGAACCTTCAAAAGTGCGATGCATATTCATTTATAGCTGAAAAAAAATTTTTTTTAATGATTTCGAGTTATTTTTGAAGAGTGTCTACGAGCGCTAAAAAGCGCCTTCGGCGATGCGACGCAGATAGACGCAGTTCTCGACCCTTGTAAGTTTATTATTTTTGGGGAAAAAGTTGACCGACTGAAATAAGTTTTATTTTCTACCATAAGTGGCATTGCATTACGAAAAAAAAAATTTCATCAGCTGTAGCGTCTATAAAACCGTTGACTAAACGCCGTTTGTTTTCACATGTTTTCGATGCACGGCAGTTTCTCTCTACTTATTGTTTGTTTACGAGTTCTTGTGTGTATTTTCTGTATATTTTGGAGCAATGTCTACGCTGGGTAAACTGTATAGACCAAGTAAAGGCTCTAAGAAGCATTACGCGACTGCCCAGCCGGCTCAGAGTCATGGTGCTCTTGGCAACGTGCTAAAACTGCTAATGATTTAGCAAAATACAATCATAATTCGGCTATGTGTAATGAAATATACGAGGCAATCAAGCCTATTTATGATGATTTAAGCAGAGACGAACTTCTTCAGCGCTGCTTAGGCGGATATACGCAAAATACGAACGAGTGCTTCAATAAAGTCGTGAACGATCGCTCCGAAAAATTCTTCTGGTGGAAAATTATTGCTCGACGTTGGAATTGATGTAGCCACATTGACATTTAACGATGGCCTTATGTCTCTTGTCAAAGTTTTGGAAGTAATAGGCGTGAAAATCGGGCTCAACTGCTATAATTTCTGCATGGAAAGTGACGCAATCCGAATTGCCAAGGCAGAGCGATCAATGTCGGATCAAGCAAAAGATGCTCGAAGAGCTAATTTGGCAGTTCGGAGAGAAGAAAACGAGGCTGATTTCAACGTGGAAGGGCAACTGTACGGAGCTAGAATCGCTGATTAAAGATACATAAAGAATTTCTTAAGTTATAAACAATTTATTGGTACCGAAAACTTTAAACGCGTTTTTCTCAAAACCATGTTTTTGAAATCGGCACGCAGCAGAACTCAAACAATTTTTATCCGATCGACTTGAAATTTTAACTGTAGCTTCTTAGATCGATTTAACAGTCAAGTACGAGCGCTTTTTTCGATTAATTGAAAATTGTAAAAAATATATCACTTTTTATACGAAAATTATGGTCGAAAAATCAAATTTTTTATTCAAACTCGTCTCTATTTTTTTTTTTAATCTTTTTTTATTTCCCTTCGTACTTGACTGCTAAAACTAATATAATTAACGAAAATATTTCACTTTTTGTTCCAAGATCAAATTTACGACAGTTCTACTGCGTGCCGCGGAGAGAGTTGGCTGAAAACCAGTAGTGATGTAGCGACTCGTGCGCCGCCATTTTATATTTTTTTAACAAATAAAAAATTTTTTTACGTACTTCAATATATGTCTAATAAAGCCTAAAAGTTCTTTTGATCATATATTTTATTCCTTTCTCAAAAAAAAATACCAAAGAAAGCAGTCGAAAATGGGCAGTTACAGTGGTGTCGTCCCTTAATTCACATGAAACTTTTTAATTTATTTTTTAAATAAAATTTAATTATATAAAATAAATTTTTTTATTTTTTAAATAAAATTTAATTTTATAAAATAAATTTATTTTAGAGAAATGCAATGATTTATATGATATGTAAAATCATTCAAGAATTAATATATTCAATATTAAGATTCAAAAATATAAAACTCTTAATCGAAACTTCTTTAACATGAAATTTCGAAGAAAGATACATCTCTTATATCAATAAAATGACTTTTTGCTCTTTATATAATTATTTTATTATATCGAAATTTTGATGAGCAACCTATACAATTGTTTATATAATTTTTAATTTAGTAAAGTTGGAAGTAAATTCTTTTCTTTTTCCCAACTTTTCAGTTGATGCATTCTTTCTTCTAATGCAAGTGTTCTTATCACAAAGATGTTTGTAATAGATGGAAAATGTATATTTCAAAAGCAAGGTTATATCGAAATTACAATATATACATTTCATATATGCATTATTATAATTTTTTTAATCTATTATAAAATATGTAAATAATTGCAATTGAATTAATAAAATATTACTTTTTTCTTATGCATTCACTGTTTTGTACTCACCAATACGCAAGCGATGAAAATGATAGTTTTCATTTTAGCTTTCTTCGAGTACTACAAAACATAACAATCTATATTAAATTATAAGACTTTTGATTCCGTCAGTGATATTTATATAGAACAATTCTTTATTCTTTTCTTCTTTTTAGTTACATTTGCTTACAATGTTGTCCTGATAATACCATCAAATTTTTGCATTAATATGTTTATTTTTAATATTATCTCTTACATTATATTTTTCCACTACTTTACTTGCCGATTATGATTCTTTATATTCAAAAAGACAAAAATGAGGTTGACTTTACTGAAATATCAAGCTTTCTCGTTTCTATTATACTTCTAGTGGAAACAGTACATTCGATGCACATCGAAGTGGATTGAATACTTCGATGGAAACTAGATCATTGTGGAAGCGTATGAGAGTGAAAGAAAAAGAGAGAAAAACAAAGAAAAAGAAAGAAAGAATAAGATAAAAATGAAGAAAGGGCAAGGTCGGAAAAGCAGAAAAAGAATTCAGAATATGATTTATGAACTGGATAGAATTATGGAAGAAACACAATTTTTTATTGTATATTTCTTGTCCTGCTCATAAAAGAGCATTTTTAGATATAAAAATTATTCATTAAATAATACAAATTAGTCTAAGTAATACTTTTAAAATATTTTGCTTTAAGAAATTCATTAAATCCTGCAGTTTTTAAATTGTATTAATTCGTACAAATATATATATATATATATATATATATATATATATAATTATATTGTATATTATATATTATATTTATATTATTTTCCTTTAATCTGTATTTTCTAGTATTCTATGTAAAAATGTGCTTCCATTTAATTCAGAAAAGAGTGGGAAGAAAAAAAAGTGCTTCCCCTTCGATTTTGATAAGCTATAGTTATAGTCTAAATCAAAATAAGAGACACGTATTTTTTTACGCATCCATACGATCATTAAGAAAATGAAACACTCTCTTGAAAAAAATTCGGTTTTTTTTATTTTTGAGCGAATACCATCGAAACGATAAAAAATATAAAAAAATTTTGAATAAAAGTTTAAAAGCATTTTGAATGTACTCTATAACAATGTCCGATTTTTCGAAAATGTCATGTTTTTCGAAATCTTCCTCCTTTTTCTAAATTTTAAAAATTTTGAAATTTCTCTTATAGCAAAATTTAAAACCAAAATCAAATATATATAATAAAGTTGTATTCAGAAATAAGCTAGAAATATCTCAATATCGCTGTAAGCGTGGACTTTCTTTAAAAGAAATCTATAGACTAAAAAAGAAAAATATGTAATGTGTATTTGTAAAATATTAATGTCTTTCTTACAAGTATATTTTAAAAGTTTTATAAAAAATAGTATACTCTTATCATGTAATTGAAGATAATTTAATAAAAAGGACAGGACTTACATTTTTAGAAAAGTATAAGTATTCAAAAGCATGAACAATAATAAAAATTTTTTTAATTAGTACATACGTAATATATGCACACTTATTTTCGTTGAATCGTAGTAGAACGAAATCATATACTAAACTGCTAGTTCAACTCACAGCGATAGATACTTATATAATAATGCGTACATGCTTCGGTGAGCGCAGTTCTAAAATTATTTTATATTAATATTTAATTTATTAACTTATTAATACGCCATTGTTGTATAAGTGCATCTATTATTCGTTGCACTGATAACAAATTATCATCTATTAACATATGATCAAAAAGAATTTTCCTTCGTCTAGTTTCAGTTTTAGTGGATAAAAATATATTATTATTCTCATACAAGGAAAAAGGGGAAAAAAGCTTATAAATATAATTATGTATGGATTTTAACCTGATCTAATCATATACAGGGTCCGGCCGAATAACATGTACAAGCGGACACCGGATAATTGCTTATGAAAAAATAAGAAAAAAAGTAGAATAAAATTTTTTCACCTGAGGCTTCGTGCAACGTACAACACTTGTTCTGATTATAAACAACAATGTTTTAAAATTATAAAATTCAAGAAAGAACAAAAAAATATTTTATTAAGTATAATTTATTTTTATCAATTACAGTACTGTTAAAATTGACGTCCTCTTTTCCATATCCATAGTTATGACCATCTTATTACTAATGCATGCATCCTTGGTATGCTATATTTAAACACTCTTTGATTTTAATTCGGCAACGGACACGACCACAATCTCGACTACGCAATTCAAAAGATCCCTATTCCAACAGACTACATTTAACCTTTTGTATCATTCTTCAACCTGGAATACACCAGTTGGGAAAATGTTCCCTATAATAACGAATGGCAGCACAAAAATTATCGTTACGTTTTGATTATACAGGTTCTGATCATGTCGTACTCTCTTCTCGTGTAACTCATTGCTTTAATAACTGAATGGAAATTAATTGCTCACATAAATAACACAGTAAAAGTTGCAGAGCATTATTTACAATTAGAACAAGTGTACATAGCACGGAGAATCGTACCTTACTGGAAATTGAATTTAAACGGGATGGATATTTAAACTCAAATTTCTCGAAAACGAAACCTATAATGAAGTATTTTTCATTAAATACTTTCCGAGTTATGAGGCTTGAAGTATTAATTTCTTAATTTTACATAAACCTTAAAATATCTTGTAAAATATTCATTTTTCGATTATCTTCCTTTTATACTTTTATGCACAAAATAATGTGAGAGATTGGTGTAAAGAAAACACATAATTGTTTCGAAGAAAAAAATGTAATTGTTAATTGCAAATTACATATTTTTTTCTACATTTAATCAAGTAAGAATAATCAAGTAACAAATTTAAAATAATAAATTATCGTTTCGATATGAAATAGATTTTTACGAACAAATTATTTCTTAATGATATTTAGAGTCGAATCAAGAGACACGGTAGTGTCTCGCGCCAAGTTCATGCGAAGCATTGCGCGGCACTCCGTGTATCTATACGCGAGTCGGACAGTTGAGAGTAACTTAGATTATCGGATTTCAATAACGGCTGAACGGATCGAATTCTTACTAGCCTTAATCGATAGAGCGAGTTTGAATTGTATAAAGAAAGTATCTTTATTTTTGCGCTGTGTGATCTATTAACGGAGATATCATAATGCAAACTCGAAATATGAAAATTTTCAATTAAGAAACGTCTTTATCATTATCATCATGGTCGTCATCGACGCACATGTACACAACACATAGAAAGAGAAAACGTCCTTTTCCTACTCTCGACAGAAGATTGCGCTAGCGACGCTTTTCGATATTAATGACATGTGTCATATGTGTCATTAATGACATGTATCATTAACCGCATTTTGAGTAGTAATAAAGTGCAAGTTATAAATAATAAATAATTAAATTATTAATTAAAAATTGGTAAGAGCCAGTACGGTATGATAATTGGAGCAAGGTAAATAAATATATATATCTATTTTACAAGCTAAATATAAATATAATATATTAATTATATATATATATATATATATATATATATATATAAAATATATATGTATATATATATATATAATATAATATACAGGGTGTCCCTAAATTCGCGCCCACGGAGTACAAGGCGTGATACTTTAGGCTAAAAGAAATAACTTTTTCCTTTAGCAAAATTGCGTGCGATAAGTAGTTTTTGAAGGAGAGCAGGTTGAAGTAAACCAATAGGCGTTCTGGTGTAAGTGGCGCTCAGGGCCGGCGCGCGCGCTTCGCTCACTTGTATCAAATTCTTGACTAGTATTTACAAATAATGTTAAAACATTAATGCTTTGTTATAATTAGTTTACTATGAATTTATTTTTATCTTAGTTATGATTTTATTTTAATTATACATATAATTAGTTAGATTATACTTAAGACTCAAATAATAAGAATCAACTTGAATACTGAACCGTGATCTTTTTCCATATTGTATTCTTTAAAAAGTGAATAATTAACAAAATAAATATTGCTTTTATTTCTTACGTAATAAAAGATAAAAGAATGTCTGATTTCGTAGATCTATCTGAAAATAGAGACAAATGTAAATAGTAATGTGCTTTGCGAGCTAAACGCGTTTCTATTCTTCTAAATTTTTTTCTTTTTTCATCATTTTCTTACATTTTGAAAAATTTTCTACATTTTGAGTCTTAAGTATAATCTAACTAATTATATGTATAATTAAAATAAAATCATAATTAAGATAAAAATAAATTCATAGTAAACTAATTATAACAAAGCATTAATGTTTTAACATTACTTGTAAATACTAGTCAAGAATTTGATACAAGTGAACGAAGCGCGCGCGCCGGCCCTGAGCGCCACTTACACCAGAACGTCTATTGGTTTACTTCAACCTCCTTCAAGCTCTCCTTCAAAAACTACTTATCGCACGCAATTTTGCTAAAGGAAAAAGTTATTTCTTTTAGCCTAAAGTATCACGCCTTGTACTCCGTGGGCGCGAATTTAGGGACACCCTGTATATATATATATATATATATATATATATATATATATATATAATATATATATTATATATTATATATTATATATTATATTAAGTATGTATATATATATTATATACATACTTTTTTTAATATAATATCTTTTAGCAAATTTAAAAAAAGAAGTGATATAATCCCCAAAAACTTATCTTTTTAAAAAAAGGTAAAAAAAGGGCGCCAAGTTCATGCACTAATTGTATCCAACTGTCATATTGTCTACAAAAATAGTGATATACAAAAATTGTGCCAACTAAGAATAAAAATTTGTACAAGATAAATAGTAAAAAAAATTTTAATTAAAAAAACTTGGCGCTGCCAATAAAATTGGCATATATTCCAATTAAATATATGTTTAACAGCAAATATAATTGCTGGACATTTATTATTAATTCTCTTAAGATCTTCTGGATTTGAAAATTTAGACTTTTAAGTTGAACAATATATTAATAAAATTGGCAGCGCCAAGTTTTTTTAATTAAAATTTTTTTTACTATTTATCTTGTACAAATTTTTATTCTTAGTTGGCGCAATTTTTGTATATCACTATTTTTGTAGACAATATGACAGTTGGATACAATTAGTGCATGAACTTGGCGCCCTTTTTTTACCTTTTTTTAAAAAGGTATAATTTAACCTCGATGTCTTATTGTTATATTTTTTGATCTTTTAAATATTCGAACGCTTAATATTGAGAACGTGCAATAAAAAAACATCAAATCATAGATCTAAATAATTACCAAAATGAAAAGCTCCTTAATACATTAATCCTTTAATAAATATTCATAATAATTTATCTACGTAATTTAAAAAATACTTTTATACTTTATATTGTGTTTGTATTTAAATGGGTCGCTGAGAAGAGGATTGATCTTAAATGTCGTGTCACAAAACAATATATTTTCTCTATCTCTTTGTGTTACAAAAAACGGCGAGAGCGTCTTCCATCCTCTCGCACATGTGCGCTCACACACACACAAACACGCGCGCGCGCGCGCGCGGGCACACACACACACAGCCCTCTTCTCACACGTGCGCACGTACGTATCTCTTTCGCAGTACGCGGTAACTTAATTTAACGTAACGCACATAACACTTTAATATACAGGGTGACCCATTTTAACTTAGGCAGCCAAATAACTCGAAAAATAAGCACACTACGAAAAAATGGTTAGAATCAAAATTTCGTCATTTCGAGGGGGACGTACAATGACGTTAAAATCAGCCCCCCCACCCCTCCCCCTAGGCGGTGAGGGGGGGCAAGTTTGAAATCTTAAATGGAACCCCCTATTTTTCATTGCATATTCTTGTAGCTTATCTCGAGAGCTTTCCAAAACACTATAATTAAGTACCTTTTTATTAAGTACTTTTTGAGTTATAAAGCTTAAAATAATTTCTTAATTTTACATAAACCATAAAATATCTAGTAAACCATTCATTTTTCGATTATCTTACCTTCATACTTTTATGTACAAAATAATAAGAGGAATCAATTGGTGTAAAGAAAACACATAGTTGTTTCTAAGAAAAAATATGTAATTTGCAATTAACAATTCCATATTTTTTCTTAAAAACAACTGTATGTTTTCTTTACACCAATTGATTCCTCTCATTATTTTGTACATAAAAGTATGAAGGTAAGATAATCGAAAAATGAATGGATTACTAGATATTTTATGGTTTATGTAAAATTAAGAAATTATTTTAAGCCTTATAACTCAAAAAGTACTTAATAAAAAGGTACTTAATTATAGTGTTTTGGAAAGCTCTCGAGATAAGCTACAAGAATATGTAATGAAAAATAGGGGGTTCCATTTAAGATTTCAAACTTGCCCCCCCTCACCGCCCAGGGGGAGGGGTGGGGGGGCTGATTTTAACGTCATTATACGTCCCCCTCGAAATGACGAAATTTTGATTGTAATCATTTTTTCGTAGTGTGCTTATTTTTCGAGTTATTTGGCTGCCTAAGTTAAAATGGGTCACCCTGTATATTCCACTTAATATTATTTATTAAAGTATCCAAAATAATAAATTATTGTTTTGTTAGAAAATCGATCAAGAATTATTGGTAATTATGCACTTTACG